TCCATCTTCCTAGAATCCACAGGGAGACGTCAGCACACAACTCAGCATTCAGCAACCACCACACCTTCAGTTCCTGTCTCACTGGGACGTTGCTTGGAAGTGTACCTTGCATCTTGCACCTTTGGTAGTAATACATAACTTTTCTAGAAAAATACAGTCAATACATCTGGATATTTTCTAAATACCTTTGCTGTAGCAGAGAGAAAGGCTTTCTGCGTTTTCTGCCTATTTTAGTGTAATGTATTGCACATGGCACCAAATTAAAAGGGATTAAAACTAACAGTTGTGAAACACTGACCCTACAGGCCAGTCAGGAAAGAGTATCTGCAAATCAATACAGAAATACACATGATTTTTTTAGGCTGATCATTAGAACAAGCATGCAGAAATCATTTTAGCTAGTTACAGACCAATAAAGCACAGACACAGGTGGAAAGAGTACAAAATAAAAAATAGTATTAAGACACTATCCCTTATTCCTTAATTATTGACCATATGAAACAGGGGGATAACACTTAGCTATTATCCTTGCAAATTTAAATTTCTAGCAGGAAATTCTAAAGGAAATTTAAACACTGAACTTCACCTTGGGCTGTCCCACTCCCCATGGTGCATTTTACAGGGATTTGCAAGGCTTGGCAGATAGCACCTTCTTCCCCTTGATCTGGATACCATGGCTTCCAAGGTCACCTCAGCACCTGTGCTTGTATGTAATGCTAAGGTAATCCTCACAAGGACAGCTTGACTCTTCATCCCCTGCTAGCTGTGGGTCTATACAAAACATTAATCAGCCTGCTACACCTGCAGCTAAGGTCCTTTAGTCAAATCGTTACACAATCACTGTTCAGATCATGAAGCAATGGGGGTCGAAGCTGTCCCTGAACAGACATCCAAGCATGCTTCCACAAGAGTTACTAATGTTGAACTTTGAAATGTGTATAGAACAAACATTCCTTTAGGTCCTTCTCTGATTTTTCTGCTGCTCCACCTGAGATCTTGTGAAGGATATTCTTCACAGAAACATAAATTGTTGCCTACCCAACTCACTTCCTTTCTCATTTAGGTAAAACCTATCACTAACCACTCTTGAAGTCAAGTGCTAGTGGTAAGTGCAGATTGAATTTATGCTGCAGGGATGCTAAACAAAAGCCAAGATGCTGGGGTCTTGCTATTAAAAGGGAAGAAGCATGACCTGATCCCTCCTATTCTGTAAACAACCTGTGAATTCAGAAATGTCAATTCTTCAACATCTGTAAAGATGTAGGGAGATACACTTTGTCAGCTTGAAAGCTGAAAATTCAGGAGGAAGAAGATAAACGTGGTAGCATACCTTTAGTTAAAATACATAGAACATGGCTGACTGCCTGCATCAGAATCAAGAGGGTGAGTGACTCCAGGAACCTGACATGCAGACATTGAAGGGCTAAAGATGTTAAAGACTTGTGAGCACACTGCATTTAGCTGATGAACTGCATTTAACTGATGAACTGTGCACTAGAGCAGGCTAGACAACACACAGTTTACAACAGATCCTGCAATAACCTGGTTTTCAAGGGGGAAGGTTGTTGGAAGGGAAAGTCAAGAAACCCTTAGTTTAAAAGGATTCAATTTACAGAGGACTTTCCCCCTGCTAATCTAACTTTGACCAAATCAAAAGCATTAGCAAGCACATGGCCTAGCCTTGCTGAAGTCAGTGTGATTAGTCTTAGGTATGAACTTAGGCACATATTTGAACACACAATGGTACAGGGCATGCATGGAAGTGCCCTGGCTCCAGATCTGCCAACTGCAGCAACTGCAACAGGACTGACTCTGTCTGACAAGGAAAGCTGGGCACAGTTAATAACAGCCCATTAAAAAAGTTTGGGCATGACCCCTTTCAGCCTTCACTTGAACAATGTTGAGTGAAAAGCTGACAATTTGTTACCAAAACAGAATCTGACAGACCACTAAAATACTCCACTTACGTAGTTTTCCAGGCTCTTATAGATGTTATCTGCATGGGCACATAAATCACAGATGCTATCTGTGTTTTCTCATAGTACATATTTTCTTAAGAGACAGATAACTTGCAATAAGGATTAGAAACATGAGAGGAGCAGTGTCTTCACAAAAGCCCCATTCTGCTCCTGCTGCCATGCCTGCATGGGTCTACAGGAATGTGTTGTAGAGTCAACAGCTGACCTTGCTTGGTGAGACTGGTAGGGCATGTTGGAGTGAAAAAAAAAAAAAGCCAAACCAAAAAAAGCTGTACTGACCTCTCTCTTCAGTCTTGGGGCTTAACTCTTCTTCTTCTTTTTCTTCTTCATCACTGCTGGAGCTCTCTATTTTCCCCTTCATTTGTTCCAACTGGTCCAAGTTAACACGTCCAACCAGCTCAAAATTACGACTCACCTTTGTATAAGGTATAAAGATACACTTTTTTCAGCAATCAGCACAATCCTCAGCTGTTCAGAAAAATCATCGCATATGTAAAACAAAACAGAGTACACCCCAAAGCCTGATCAGTTAGAGGTGACATGCAGTCACCTGCTCAAATTAACACTCTTTTTTTTTTCTTCTTCTTTTGCTGCTTATTCTGCATTTCTCATTTTTGGTTTTCAAAAATCAATGACATCCAGCAAACACACCCCCCCTCATTTTTTCATGGTTCTGATGCATGAAAATTCAAGAAATGCAAAACACTTTTAAGTTTCATCCCTTTTTTATGGCATCATTCAACCACTGTGATCAAACACTACTATTGTACATCCACACTGAAGGAAAATTTTTTGTGACTGGTTCATTCAGCTTCATTCATGAGAAAGATGGGTCTTTTACTAAGCACATGGCTGCTGTGTGCCACATACACTTTCACTCATTAATAACAGATTAATTTTTGTTACGAAGGGCTGGCTGCAAAGTGCTTTGCAAACTGATACACAGGCTATAATGGGAACACTTCACCCAGCAGTCAAATTCAGCTAACCCTAGGGTGAAACGCATCAGCTACTTAACAGCTCACAGCAGCAGCATGAAAGGAGCAGCTTAGGGCTCAGAAGTCAGGAACTCCACCACATCCAAGAGAAACAGCAGAGGAGCAGTTGAGATTTACAGCAGAGGCAGAGAGCATGGAGCATGACCAGGACACTAGGGCTAATACTTGTTGGATGACAAGCGCCCTCTGAGCTCATTGATCACTGCTGGGAAGGATTTTGGATTCATGTTTCATGCAAAGAGACAGCACTCCAGCAGCACAGGCACTGAGCCACAGAGGCAGACAGGATGGAAATGGAGTGCAGTACAACGCCTCTTGCAAGATGCTGAATGAAATATCAACACTCACTGCCCATTTTTTATCCCTCTGTGGGAAAGCGAATGTGAATGAACATAAGGACCATGTGAATCAGACTGTAGTATATCTCCAAACAGCAAACTACCCTGGTGTGCAGACTCCTAGTACTACTCCATACAGGCAGCTGTGACGAGGTTCTCTTGACTTACAACATTACCCACTGAGATATAAACAAACACGACCACATGCAAGGCATTTAATTCAAACCAGCTCATCCACAGGAACTCTTTAAAGTGCAATATATCACTTAGGTATCTAAGCCCAGAACATGGACACAAATTAGTGTGATATAAATTACCAAAGAGAAATGGAGAAAAGATATCCTGAACTACAAAACTCCATCACCGCACATTCAGATTGGAAGGGAGAGCCAAGTAAGGGAATAATTTTCCTAGTCTGATGTACTGTGTCAAAAGAATGAGGAATAGTGCCTCCTCGATGTGACAGGTGCCTTACTGTGGTGACTAGGAGGCGTGGAACATCTCATGTGAATTGCAGAAGACTCTCCAGAAGTAGTAAAGATGAGGGCAGATAAGGACAGCAGGTCAGCATAAGTTTACAGAGTCCATTTTTATAAGACAGCCAAATACTTTTCAAGCATTACAAGTTTTGCTGGGAATTCTGATGCTAATTATGTCAATATAAATGTATTTGGCTGTGTCATTCAAGTCAATGAAATAGGAGTGAGTTTTTAGGGAGGTACTAGGCAGCTCAGCTCCCTCCAACAGGTGGAAATATGACAAGGAAGCAGTCTAACAAATACTCCAAAACACATTTCAGTTCTGTAATTTAAGTGTTTCTCAGCTAAACAGCTTACAGCTACAGAAATTCAAAGCTAACAGTCTGTGGAAAGCCTCTAATGACTTCTCAGAGACTGTACCAGGTTTGCATTCGGGCACCCCACAAAAACTCCAAAGCAGCCTTGACTTAGGACCTGGTTTTACTTGCTGTTTATCTTTCCCTTGTTAAATGTAAACAGGGATGTATTACCCTCTTTGTTATTAAAATATGCATGGCATGTCACTGCTGCTGCAGTTGCCAGAGCAGTCTTATGTTTGGAATCTCCTGCCTTTTAGAGAGGCTGAATCACACAGCCATAATATTGTTTCACAGCTCCCTCCCCCTCCCCCCCCTTAAAATAGACGTAGCATACACAAGAGCCTTTTCCAAATAATCATACTCTGCATACAACACTCTGCTAATTCTGATCAATCTGAACAGCTTTAGAAATCCTGAATTTTGAGTTTCTAAAGAAAAAGAAAGGAATAATAGAAAACAGAGGAAGTGAAGCCCAACATGGAATTAGTTTCCAGGTTTGGGGAGGTAGAAGGGAAAAAATGCAATGTCAAGTTGGCTACTTGAAAGTTTACATGCAAGTAAACTAATAGAGCATTCGCAAAGAGACTGCTACAAGTGAAAACTATCTGGATGTTACCTTGTGCTCATCTCGAAGATGAGCATCCAGCTCCTCTGTGTGTTTGGTCTCATAGTAGCAGAGTTGGCATTTGTAAGGTTTCAGTTCATTGTGCTTCTCTATGTGCTGCTGCAAGCTCTCATCACTGGAGCAGGTAAAAGTACACTTGTCACAGCGGAAAACAACTCCCTGCAAGTACTTCGATAGTTTGGAACGGCAGACTTCAATGGGAACAACCCGCTCTTCTGTAGGGACAGGACAACATTCACTTTACAAACTTTATGAAATACCACCTGTCAACAGTTTGGCACCTACCACCAACCCAAAGTGGAAGATCTGCTGTATGGATATGCAAGACATCTACGAAGGAATGGCAACTAAGCTGGATCAACACAAAAAAAACCAAAATACAACAATTCTTTCTTCAATGACAGGGGTAATCCTCCAAGTCTACAGATGCAGGTATCCTCATAAATGTAACTGCTTATGGGGTGAAGAGGTTGGGAGTGAAGTTCTGGGGGCAAACGAGGCTCCATCTGTGAGTCAGAGTAGCAAAGCCTGGGAATACAAAATCAGCCATAAATCAGGCAGACCAGAAGTCCATTTTGGTTCAGTACTTGACAGCAGCAAGGAATGGCTGCTAGAAACGTAATAAACAGGGAAGCTGCAGGATGCTTCCCAATGCATCACCCTGCTGGCTCTGTAAAAATCAAATCTGGTATCCTCACCATCGCACCTAAATCACCTCTGAAGTCTCTGAGGAAAGAGAGGGTAAGCAAGGCAGCACCTTTTCCTGGAAGAGGCTGTGCAGTTCAGCCAGGGGCAGAAACCTCCCTACACACCCACAGCTTTCAGAAAGCTCTGATTCAAAATTGGCAGGCACGATGCACTGAAAAAGCTCTTGCTGCGTTTTCAAACTCTCCACTTCTCAAACAAAGCACTGACACTCAACAGAGCAGCAATTAATTTCAGTAATTCGATAGAGCCAGAATCCGATGTGCATAACACTTTTACACGGCGGTTCCCCCAGCTGTATGCACAAGAGAAACCCCAAATTTGATCCTTCAGCTAAGGGTCACCAGAAAAACCTCGTTTATCGACTTCTGTTACTCAACTGACCTTTTGAACTAGAACACAGAAATTTAGTATTGCTGCTCCTTATGGACTGCAGATTAAAGGAGGAGTTTGATCCCCCTCATGCAGGTTCATCCCTAACGACAGATTAAAACAAACAAATGGAAAAAACAGGCCTGAATCCCAGACATGGAGGCTAGTGGAATGTGAGACACAGCAATCCACATATGGATCTGAGTCAATGAGCTCTCATCTTTAGTGAGGAAGGCAGTATCATCTCCAAGGACAACTACAGAAATACAAACTTCCTCAGGGTTTCTGGAAGGTGGCAAAAGCTCCATTGTTCATTCACTTTTGGCCAATTCACCTGTCACCGCTGCTCACAAGACTTTTACTACAGCCCAACAAAATATTCCATCTTGCTCAACTTCTCCTGAACACAAAAGCTGTCCTATCTTGTAACTTCCTCCTTGGTTACTTCAAAAAGTGGAAGTTTTCCCCAAAGCTATACCTTTGAAAAAAACTGTGGAGTTGTAATTCTTTTCTAAACCAACAACAGTTTCTCTAGCCATAAAGACATCAAGTTGTGGCTGTTCAGGGTGGTAAAACAGGAGGGGAGAATAGGGTCTAAGAGACAAGAGAATTTAAAGCTATGATTCTGAGGTCATAAGGAGACTTTTTACAAGGTTTTTGCAGCTGTGTGCTTTTGAACTCACTGAAATAAGTGACACAGCTGGCTTCAGAAGTGAAGTTTTCAAAAAGAGAAATACTAATTAATATATTTGAAAATTCACATTTTCTCTAGCACCTGGCACTGATTAAAAAGCCTAAAACATGAGACAGTACAAACCTTTTTATCTACCAGTATGGAGTAATGCAACATTCCTTAATTCAGATTACCAAAACCTATTATCTCACACTCACACCAACACTCCCCAAACCAAAGGCAGCACAAGACAAGAAAAGCAAAGTAAACATAACCAAAAATTCTAACCTGAAGGTGGCTTCTGTAGCCACTTATTAAGAGGGAAATATATACTCTCCATTTCAAGCACACGATGATTCTCCAAGGGTTAGGGGCAACAACTTGGAAGTTATGTAAGAGCCACATACCTGTAAACGTGTCTTTTTACATAGGAGGAACATTAACTATGAATGGATCAAATCCTTCACTCTATTTTTACACACTGCATCACTCCATCTATGTCAAAACTAATGTTCTGGACCACAGCTCAGGGCTCTGCCCTTCTTTTACCAATGTAATGGCTATAAAAAAAGGCAGGCTATCTCAGACTACATTCACCATCCCACAGTGTTTCTTTCAGTGTAAGTTAAATCTTGCCAAAATTGTCTGCTTCAGCTGTCACATACTTAAACACAATGGTAGAGTGGTTTTTAGCTGGATATATGCACTAGAAAGGACTTTGAGGATGGACCCTATTTCTTTTATTACCTGGAAGCTTGATGCCAGAGAAAATCGTTGTCCTTCCCGCAGTTACCTTTGAGATTATCAGCTTTACATTAAAACCTCTTTTACTCTGTTTTACCTCTCCATTATGTCCTTTGCTATCAGCTTTGTTTCAGCAGTACAAAGGCTTGAGATTTGGTTTGTGCAACTGAAGCAACAGCTCTACAAAAGAACAGATCCACAGTTCCACTTACCCAGGAGGCAAGCACCTCCTTGAAATTGGCCAGAAACATCTCGGTACAGGCAGTACAGTTGCCTGAGCTCATGAAGTGGTCTTTCACTTCTGCAACTGGACATTTCCAGAGTCAATTCTAGGCATGATGGAAAAGACCCATACTAGGCTCATCCAGTTCTCCCTCAGCCTGTCTATACGTATTTTAAAGGTCTGTCGGTTTCCACAGGAGCCCTGGCACAGCCGCAAAACAGAGCACACCTCGGCAGCACTTGGAATTGCATGGTCCCCTGTGCAGGGGTTAACTAAATCCTCCACTCCTCTGAAGTGAGCTAATTCTGGAGTATTAGTCTGAAGCTGGGCAAAATTGACACAGCAAAATCTTCAAAGACAGGAAGCAAAAGCTAAAGCATCTGCCAAACTCTTATAACCAAATAAGGCAGCTTTGTAATGTGCTTTCTGAATCACTGACAGGTCATTTTTCCCAGATGTTCCCTCAGAATAGCCCTGCGAGCAGATAGAAACTTAGATGATCTCTGCCAACCTCACTGCTTTAGTACATGAAGGACTTTAAGCTACCAACACTGGAAAGTGGTATGTTACACGGAATTATGATAGTGCTCATCACACCAGGATCTCCTCCAGGAAAAAGATGGCATGCAAAACTTGTGTTTGCTCACCACCAATACCCTACTGTGAAACTCTGCCCAACCTGCGAGCAGGCAGAGTGCCATCCCAACACATGGGTTTGGATTTCGGCAGCCAACAGACCATCTACAAGCATCAAGTGTGATAGCTATGGGCAGGAATCCCAGCCCAGAGAGACCAAACAGCTGTCTCTTCTGAGCTAGCAAGCCTGCAGTTAATAGAACATAGAAATTCCTAATCCTACTTCTAGCTGTCTTTAAAATCAAGACAGGAAAGGTAAAGATAGAAAAGGTGTCTTAAAGAAAAACAAAAATATTTTAATTCTTGCTTTGATCCTAAGAATACTAAAGAGAAAAAATTCAAGCAAGTAATTAAGGGATATTTTGGGGCCTCCACGTTTAGTGATATATATTGTCACAGAGTTTATGATAGCAAGGCCTTTATGGTAACAAGTACATAAGCAGGAAACAACTCTGCACTAATTCAGAGCTGCAGCTTTGGGCAACTTTTGCTAAACAGGTGTTTGATGACTTCTCTAGACAAAAAGCTTAAAAACCATTTTCAAGCTGCACTGTTTCAGCAATGGCTAACTCCGAATTTTACGGTAAATAAATAAGATGCATCATTTAGAAATTAAACAAAAGATACTCAAGGGCTGATGACTTATTCAACATATTTGTCCTTGTGTACAGAGAGACGAAAATTTAATTAAACCAGTCTGAAAGACAAAGGTGCTGTTCAGCAGTCCACTAATCAGATACAGACACATACGCAGATATTGTTACCTCTGTGCAGTACTATATGGTCAATCATGTTGCGTTTGTATTTGGTGTGATATAGGCAAAGAGGACAGCGAAGGTCTTTGGGTCCTTCCTCAGGAACTGCTGAATGCCCAGCTTCCACGTGCATAGTAAAAGCAGATCTGTGAAACAGGAGGGAGAGATGGAAGCAGTCAGAAGAGGTGTGCAGGGAACGATGAAGTGTCATAGCTCTATAAAGGACGTGTTGTGTAAAATGGTACAGATAGCTCTCAGCCTTATCTTCACAGTGCCACATGGTATTTCAGTGGGGCTACTCACATGAGTAACACATGAGCAGAGGTATTTGCAGGCTTGTATCCTCAAGTAACAAACACTGATTCTGACAAGATATTCTTTTGCATGAGTTGCTCTGTAGTCACATTGCTATAGTTAAGATAGCAAAAGAATTCCCATCTTTCATGCTCATTATTAGTCTTCAGGCTGAAATATTCAGTGTACTTTCTCTGGCAAAGATTAAATTTTCAGCAAGTTGAACAAAATCTATCAACTATTCTGGACTTGCAAGGGTGAGGATAGACTTATTTCTGGAGGCAGGTAACATCCGTAACCACCTCTGTCTTTGCAGAAAAAGTCCAAAATCAGTTAAAATGTTAAAATCCAGGTTACAAGACAGACTTGGGTTCACAATAAGTTTGGCTCTGAGTAGTTAAGTTTTAAAGCATCACCTATAAGGATCTGAAAACCCAAGACTAAGAATACCGTACGTATTAATGTGGAGGAATGAATTAATACTCCATAGTATTTTTACACATGCAAAAAAAAAAATCATGCTGGCATTACACTGGCTTCGCACTTAAAAGCTTCAAGAGACATGCAAACAGAGGAAATTAACTGTACACCTATAACCACAAACTCAACAGTGAAAGGAGAGGTGTCTGTGAACTTTGTCATTTTTTCCTAAAGCAGTGGTAAAGCTTGCAAAAGCTAAGGACCTCGCCACACTGAACCAGAGTAATCAGTCTCTCTGAAGTTCTTCAAGACTCTCAGCTTGAACACAAAGCAACTTACTAACACAACTGGCTTTGGGCCCAACCCAATGATCACTGAATTCTACAGGTGTATTTCTATCAACTTCAGTGAATCCTTTCATGCAGTTAAGTTTCTATGGTGAGTTGAAGAGGGGATTGGTACGTGGCTTTTTGCTCGCCTCCCCCTTCTTAAAGACAGAAAACATGCTGTGCTTCTCTAAAAAAGCAAGACTTAATTCCTGAATGAAACATCACCTGAACGAACACTTCTCCATTATGCAACTATGAATGCTTTTAAATATTGCTTAAGATTTATTTCATCCAGGTAGAAGAAAATGGCATTTGCCAGGTATGAACAGATTGAATGGACCCGGCAATTTCTAGATAAATAGCAACCAGGATTGTCTTGGGTTCAGCAGTAGCAGTCATTTTACTATTATAATAGTAAATTACGCCATTAATGTAGCAAAGTAGCGAGAGAGGCTAGAGAAATATAACTACAGGTTCCTCTTCTGTAGATTCTCTCAGGTTCGTGCTCAACATTTTGTTCAACAGAACCACTCCCCTTTATTCAGCCTTACTGCTTACCATCACCAGTCTCCTAAAAACTTAAGAGACCTCAAATGTCAGCTGAAGGTGTTGTGCCTAGGGGTCCAGCATATCAGAAGGAAATGATGAACAGCCCAGGTGCGTATTTTTCCCTTACTGAGCAGCAGCTAAAAACATGCACACACACACACAAACACAGCACTGAGTTTTTAAACTTCGCACATCCAATTGGATTTTCTGAAACGTCTCTATCTGTCATCAAATATGCCAGAGAATACTTTGCATTTAACCTAGATAGATAGCGGGAGAAATAAAATTACATAAGAGAGGTTTCTTCAGAGAGGTGATATAAACTCTCCTGTCTCCCTATGACACCTGACTGTCCCATGCTTCACACTGGTTGCACCAGGAAATGATCTTATTTTTGCAGAGAAATTTTCACAGTTGAGGATAAGGATAACACTCTTATTGTCTCTGCTGAAGAAAAAGTACTACCTATACCATTTCCTTCAGCAAGTAACTTGGTGCCCTGCTGGACCTGCTGTTCTCAAAGAAAGATGGACTTGGGTGATGTGATGGTTGGAGGCTGTCTTGGGCATAGCGGTCATGAAATGATTTGTGTGCAGTTCTGGGAGAAGTAAGGAGAGGGATCAGCAGAACTGTTGCTTTGGGACTTCCAGAGGGCAGACTTTGGCCTGTTCAGGAGCCTGGCTGAGAGAGTTCTTTGGGAAGCAGCCCTGAAGCACAAAGAAGTCTGGGAAGGGTGGGCATTCCTCAAGAAGGAATGCTTAAAAGCACAGGAGCAGGCGTCCCCATGTGCCAAAAGATGAGCCAGCAGGAAAAAGACCAGCCTGCCTGAACAGAGACCTTCGGCTGGGACTCAGGGAGAAAAAACAGAGTTTGTGACCTTTGGAGTAAGGAACAGGAAACTCAAGAGGGCTACAAGGATGTTGTGAGGTTATGCAGTGGGAAAATTAGAAAGGCCAAGGCCCAACTAGAACTAAATGTGCTTACTACCATAAAATGTAATAGAAATATTTCTATAAATGTATTCGAAAAAAAAAAAGGACTAAGGAGAATCTCCATCTTTTACTTGATGCAGGTGGACACACAGTGGTATTGACGAGGAAAAGGCTGAGGTATTTAACACCTTCTTTGCCCCAGTCTTAAATAGGAAGACATAGCTCTTTTCTGGGTACCCTGCCCCCTGAGCTGGCAGACAGGAACGGGAAGGAGAATGAAGGCCCCATAATACAAGGGAAAACGGTCAGTGACCTTCTACACCTTAAACATACACAAGTCTAAGCAACCAAATGGGACCCACCCAAAAGTATGGAGGGGGCTTTGCACCATTTATCAGCTGTGCTGGCTAACCAGGGAGGTCCCAGTTGACTGGTGCCAGAAAAGGTTATAGAGCAGATCATCTGGAGTGCCAACATGCAGCACATGCAGGACAACCAGTTGATCAGGCCCAGTCAGCATGGGTTTGAAAAAGGCAGGTCCTGCTTGACCAACCTGATCTCCGTCTATGACAAAGTGACCTGCTTAGCGGATGAGCGAAATGCTGTGGATGTTGTCTATCTAGACCTTAGAAAGCCTCTGACACCATTTCCTGCAGCATTCTCCTGGAGAAACTGACTGCTCATGGCTTGGACAGGTGGGCTGTTTACTGGGTAAAAAACAGGAACCAGCTGGATGCTGGGGCCCAGGAAGTGGTGGTGAATGGAGTTAAATCCAGTTGGCAGACACCACGAGTGGTGTTCCCCAGGACCCAGTACTGGGGCCAGTTCTGTTTAGTGTCTTTATCAGTGATCTGCATAAGGGGATTGAGTGCACCCTCAGTCATTTTGCAGACAACACCAAGCTGGGTGGGAGTGCTGATCTGCTGGAGGGCAGGAAGGCTCTGCAGAAGGATCTGGACTGGCTGGATCCACAGGCTAAAGCCAGTTGTGTGAGTTGTTTCAACAAGGCACAGTGCTGGGTCCTGTGTTTGAGGCATAATAACCCCATGCAATTCTACAGGCTCGTTCGGTTGATACGCTGGAGGGAAGGAACGCCATCCAGAGGAACCTTGACATGCTTGTGAAGTGGGCTGATGCCAGCCTTGTGAAGTTTAGCCATGACAAGTGCAAGGTCCTACACCTGGGTTGGAGCAATCCCAGACACAGCTACAGGTTGGGCACAGAAGAGATTCAGAGCAGCCCTGTGGAGAAGGACTTGGGGGTGCTGGTCAATGAGAAACTTAACATGAGCTGGCTTCAGTGTGCACTTGCAGCCCAGAAAGCCAACCGTATCCTGGGCTGCATCAACCAGCAGGTTGAATGAGGTGATCCTGCCCCTCTACTCTGCTCTCATGAGACCTCAACTGGAGTACTGTGTGCAGTTCTGGTGTCCTCAACATAAAAAGGACATGGAACTCTTGGAACAAGTTCAGAGGAGGGCCATGAGGATGATCAGGGGACTGGAGCACCTCCTGTATGAAGACAGGCTGAGAAAGTTGGGGCTGTTCAGCCTGGAGAAGAGAAAGCTGCATGGAGACCTCATAGCAGCCTTCCAGTATCTGAAGGGGGCCTACAAGGATGCTGGGGAGGGACTCTTCATTAGGGACTGTGGTGACAGGACAAGGGGCAACAGGTTTAAACTTAAACAGGGGAAGTTTAGATTGGATATAAGGAAGAAGTTCTTTACTGTGAGGGTGGTGAGGCACTGGAATGGGTTGCCGAAGGAAGCTGTGAATACTCCATCCCTGGCAGTGTTCAAGGCCAGGTTGGACGAGGCCTTGGGTAACATGGCTTAGTGTGAGGTGTCCCTACCCATGGCAGGGGGGTTGGAACTTGATGATCTTAAGGTGCTTTCCAACCCTAAATATTTTAAGATTCTATTCTATGATTCTAACAGTGGCTGGAAAGCTGCTCAATGGAAAAGCACTTGGGGTGCTGATTGATGGAGCTGAACATGAGCCAGCTTGTGCCCAGGCAGCCAAGAAGGCCAATGGCATCCTGGCCTGTATCAGCAATAGTGTGGCCAGCAGGGCCAGGGCAGTGATCATCCCCCTGTACTTGCAGTGGTGAGGCTGCACCTCAAATCCTGTGCTTAGTTCTGGGCCCCTCACGACAAGAGGGACATTGATGAGCTGGAGCCTGTCCAGGAAAGAGCCACAAAGCTGATGAAGGGTCTGGAGCACAAGTATGATGAAGATCACCTGAGGGAACTGAGGTTGTTTAGTCTGAAGGAAAGGAGGATCAGTGAAGACCTTATCTCTCTCTGCAGCTACCTGAAAGGAGGTTGCAGTGAGGTGGGAGTCAGTCTCTTCTCCCAAGTAACAAGAGATACTATGAAATAAAATGGCCTCAATCTGCACCAGAGAAGACTGAGATTAAATATTAGGAAAAATTTCTTCATCAAAAGGATTGTCATGCATTGGAACAAGTTGCCCAGGAAAGTGGTTGAGTCACCGTCCCTGGAGGTATTTAAAAGATGTGTAGATGTGGTGCTTAGGGACATCGACTTGGCAATGATAAGCTAACGGTTGGAGTTTATAATCTTAAAGGTCTTTTTCAACCTAAATGATTCTATTTCAGTGATTCTAAATCCTACTGCAAGGACTTGCTCTGCTTTCGTCTGCAGCAGATGGTACCAGCTGTTGTAGGAGAGAGGAAAATGGATTACATGGATGCTGCTGTGATCTGGCATGGCATTTCCTATGCTCCTTTCCCTGGTCTGCAGTGGTCATGTTACTGTTATAGCTATAGTCAGCTCTCAAAGACCTCAGAAGTCTTTTCAAGTGCTAAAAACCCCTTTTGAGTTCAGTTTATCTGTTTTGCACAGTACTTACTTAAAGCCTGTATAAAAGGAACAATCTTTGCACTTGAAGAGTTTTTTCCCTCCATGCTTGTCACGGTAGTGACGCCGAATGCTCTGTATATAACCCGAGGAGAATTCACAAAATTCACAGTTAAGGATGGCTTCTGTTTTGTCCAATCCTGCAGCACTTCCAGAAAGTGGGATTGGGCTGATGTTGTTGTTGTTCCTGGCCAAAGCTGCAGACTGGTAGTGGTTCAACTGCTGCTGAACATCAGGAGGCTCAGAGTACGAAGAGTCTGTAGAGAAACAGAAGGAATTTGTTATTCCTGGTGGATCAACAAAACTAAAAAGATTTAAGGCCTGCTCCAGCACCTATTGGCTCTTAGAGGGAGTTGATGAAGATGTTGGTTATTAGATCTGTCAAAAGCTTTCTGAAGGGATTAAGAAAAGGAGGAGTGGCACTCCTTAATCTTATCTGATCTGTATTCTACAATTTAAATTGTGATGAGTATAAATTACGCTTTTTAGATCTGATTTGGGGAGGAAAGGAATGACAGACCTAAATTAGGACTCTAAAAAAGAAGTCTGGGTTTAAGACACTTTTAATTTGTGAAGGTAAAGCATGTTAATCATGCTGCCAGGTGTTTATGTGTTTGGTACATAAATTAGACCAGAGATAAAAAAAAGGGTACTCTTCCTTACTCATTCATGCACTTATTTAAGAATCCCACATCAAAAATTAGCTTTAGAGAAATCATACAATTTTACTGTATCACATTTGAAGAGTCTACAAAAGGCAAATTCAAGTTCTACTAACTGATGAGGTTTGAAATGAAGCTATTATTGGAAAAAAAAATATTTAATCATAAAATCCCATAAAGCAAACTTCTAAACCACATTTCCCTAGGAGATGCTAATTTTTGCCATACTGAGCATGAGATCCCTTTACATAGATGTGTCTGTATAGATGTACCACTCTTACAATCCAGCAAAACTGCCACTTTAATGGCATGTAGAGAAGCACACTCCAGGGATGTCTCAGTACTGAAACTGAAAGCTATAATATTTAAGTTGGATCCTCCCCACTCCCCCCCCCCAGAAAAGGAGGGGGGAGGGTGGTGTTGAACCTTTCCCAACACATTGCTCGAATGTGGAGGTTAGGAATTCATCTGCTTTGTCCTATAAAACCCACAGCTGCCAATGAATGGCACAAATGAAAGCAGACAAATAAAGCACAGATGAATTTCAGTGTAACTTTCCTGAAAAGAAGACAAAAGGCTCTTTTCTTAAGCTTTCTGTAAGAAAGTGGGGGGTGGGTGGAACAAGGGGAGTTTGGGGGAGTTGGGATACAAACTGTACAAGCCACCTTCTGCTTTGATGGGTACTACATTTTCCAAAGCTTAATTCCCCAAGGCAATATATGTAGGAATTCTCTAGCAGACATACTTGTGGGAACTTAACACCATCCATTCTAACCAATTAGTACAGAGACACAAAAGGCAGCCAGGGCTATATAGCACTCAGTGTGGGGACTTCTCCACCTGTCTTCATGAGTAAAAAAATTGAATTCTTTTCTCACCACCACAGAAGGGGGCTATATATGACTGAAGAATTGAAAACAAACTAAAAACAACAACAAACCAAACCAAACCCAAACACACAAACAAAACTCGGGCAGGAGATAAATGTCTCTGGGCTCCCCTGGCTTCATCACCTGGTGCGATGAAGCAAAGACAAAGGCAGAGACATGAAAGATTTTGATAAAATGAATGAAATAGGGTTTTTTTCTCCTATAAACCGAGGCTGGATTACAATGCAGCATTTATCACCTCTTGTGCATCACTCCTACAGCAGGTTTGCTCACCATGAGGGCTCACAGTGAGCTCCACCTGTTCAAATGATGAGGCTTTCTTTTTCTTGTGTTTGAAACAAGATCCCCGCTTACTTTACTTTGGCACTGGACAAGCCTGAGGAGATGCAGAAGTCTCTTCTCCCTCTAAGGCAGCAACTGTGCATTCACCCTCTTTTAGAACAGGACCTTGAAGCCTAATGATACATGGTTCAGAGCAGATTTGCTGACATGTATGTCTGCAGCCTGATGTCTGGGCTACCAGGTTCCATGCTTCTAAAAGCTCAAAACACTGTTAGATTTCCTGACAAGGGCAGGACAACCTAAAAGAAGCTCATAGCAACGGAAACGGTATGTTTTGTATATGAACTAGTAAAATTTATTTGGGACACTGATTAAAGTCTACTTTGTAGCTTACTGTTTCTTTTCTCAGGAAGAAGGGATCAAAAATTTCCATCACATCATCAAGGTTCCTAGCCAAAATTTCAGTGATGCCCATTGCTAAGAAAGTTACAGGTCTAAAAATTATTTTCAGAACAAGCAGGTTTACTTGTTGATAGGAAGATCTACCATACTTCAGGTTTTCTCACTTCTCCTGTTACCTGGTGTTTATTATTCCAGCTTTCAAATGTTCAGATAGTTACACACTTCTATAGAAACAGTATGTGAAAATTGCAAAAGGAGACAGCTACATGTCTATTCCCACAGACAAAAACAAAGCACACGAAGTAGCTTTCCTTGTCATCAGGAATAGACAGAAGCAAATTCTACCTTTAACATCTGAATTCTTACTTTCTTTCAACCAGGATTCATGCTGGTTGCCTTAGAATTTTTAGTACATTTCTCCATTACAATTAAGATAGTTAATTGTGAAAAGTCATCTGAAGAGCTTATACAGAAAGTCTTACACTCAAAACAATGGTTGCAAGCATGTCCCTACTTCTGCCTGTGTATTCTTCCCCTTTTCCCCTGCCAAATGCTTTCATTATTTTGCAGTCCTTCTGGAGTGCAAGATTTAGCACTTCCTGAAGAAAACCACCCGGGATTAACACATGTGTATAGGGCTTCTGTTGGTTTCTGGGAATCAGTTTGCCAGACAGCTACCCTAATACGCAGGTGCAACCCAGCTTCACCAGGAATACTTCGGACAGAATCCAAAGCTGACTAAAGGCATGGGAGGTTTTCCATCAACTTCTGTGAACCACACTTTTTCATGCCCCCTCTAAAACCAGTGAAGGCAGTGGAAAGATAGCTACTGACTTGAGTTTGCGTCCAAATGTGCATTTTAGCACGCAGAACAGAATGCGCTGCCAGAAATTAAGAAACAGATGATGGGGTTGACATTTTGGAGTTTTTATTTTTCAAAAGCAGTACCTAAGAGAAGGACTAGGGAGACAAATTCACAGCCAAGGAGCAACAGTGCTGCCTTAAACTTCTACATGGGCACTTCTCTGTTCTGCTGAAAGAGCAGGCTGAAGTTTCAAATGGCTCTGCACATACTTCAGTGCTAGGCTGAGTTTGTATGTTGCTGTTGACTGAGTATTTTAAGAGCCTTGGCACTTACACAAACCTTGAGCTGCTGTGCACCAAACTGCTGGACACTTTTTGGTGCGGTTGCTGTAACAACAGGATGCCTGAATGTAAGTAGGAAAGAAGGAGGAAGAGAGCAGACCTTTCCCCTCAGAACTGATCAACAACTGAGTCACGGCTGTACACAATGCAAGTTCTAGCTCAGTCTTTTTCCTGCACCCCAAGCATAGGCAGCTGGGAGCACTCTAGGAAAGTGTCAGCAACCTTAGCCTGGAGCAGGAATGGGGTCTAAATATCCATGTCTGAAAAAAGTAAAATGGCCTTAGAAGCCTACTTCAAAATCAGAAATCAGAAGAAAGACTTTAAAATAAGCAAAGGAAAGAGTTAGGAGAATTTATGTCAAGCAATGTAAAACAAGAAAACACAAAGGTGAAGAAAATTAAGAAAAAACGAAACACCAGGAAGTACCAATTACATTTTAAGAAATAAAAATGCTTTTTTTTAACAGTCTTGAGATACCACAAGAAAAAAACTATGTTCATAAATGCAATGCAAGTAAAAAAATCAGAATACTTACCCTGACTAATTTAAAACAAAACAACAGCAAAAAAAAAAAAAAAAAAGCCCACAAGAAAAAGACTAAGATCCATTTTTAGAAGTAATTTTACCCAAAATGAATGAAAAATGAATGCTATTCAAAAGCAAGGTAACAGCATGGAATGATCTCATACAAGAGGTAGGACACCTACAGTAAGTGATGTAGTAAAGCCTGGAAGAACAGCATCGATGCTGCAAATCTCAGTTTTGGGATTTCACATAAAACATCTACCTACAGACTACCTGCAGAGGAAGAATAACAAGGCTAGCAAGTAGTAATATCTCCCACCACCTATAGATCTAAAAAAAACACAGTATCTATGCTCAATATACAACAGCATTCTCATATCCAAATGACCAGCTGAAAGGAAAGCAGTAGAAATAACTGTCCACATGGTGACTTACCCACACAGCCCTATCTAAATTACTACTGCATACTGATAATAAGTCTCATAGTGCCTCTGCACGGGGTGAAGAAAGACAGCATTTCCAGAGTGTCTAAAACACACAAATGGCTGGTAAGTGATGTTGCCACACTGAAAACTTTATTCAGAGTACAGACATAAAACCTGGCACAATGAGTCTGTCAACAATACTGGAAGTTACTACTTCATCCAAAAGAGCATTCACAGTCCCCACTACAATGCAATGCAATGCAATGTAACCATGAAAATGTAGCTTGCCACACACCTTAGTACCCTGGGGTCATACACTGGGGAAAAAATGTGCAATGAAAACCCACCACAGATGCAAAAATGAAAATCCAAGTTTTCACGGATGCTCTGCAGAATGTAACAGGTTTCAGATATCTAAAAGAAGAAAAACTTGGGATCTTTTCAGAAGGAAAAAAAATCATTAAAGATTCTGATGTGGATACATGAATTTACTCAGAAATCAAATGCTTTAGTTATTTGTAGGTATTTTCAGAGTTATCAATGAACATATACGCAACAGAAAACATTAAAAGAAGACATCTGAAGAAGATAAGAAGTACATCCGGACATGTCTAAGTAAGAGACACTGAGCAGCAGTTCACACACCAGAGGCAAAACTACCGATTGAAAGAAAGAAATCAAACCATTGTCTCATCCTTTTAGAGTGATCAGAACACATCTAATAGAGGTATTTGAAAGCCTGTATAATGAGGGGTAAGGATGGAGGGAGAAACGCGGTTCACAAAAACAACTATTCAAGTACACTGGAAAGCAAGCTTATTGCATACGCAAACTACTAATAAATGAACAGCTCAATAAGCAGAAGGAGGCAGTGGGTGATAAAAACGAAGACACCACACTTTCCTGTACATCCACACAGAAATAT